GGGATGTGACCTTAGTAAGGGTGTTATACAATCCCACCCTAATCCTCTTTAACATAAAATTACAATCACAGAATGGAGGACAACCACACAATACTGGGAATCATGGCCCAGCCAAATTGATACACACATTTTTAGGGGGACATAATTCAATCCATGACAATACCTAAGAATGAAATTGCTGGGTCATATGATAATTTTATGTTTGATTTGTTTAGGAACCACCAAACGGTTTTCCACAGTGGTTGTACCGTTTTACAAGGAGTCCTGGTGGCTCAGTGGTTAATCATTTGGCTGCTAACTGAAAGGATAGCAGTCCGTGCCCACCAGCCACTCTGTGGGAGAAAGATGTGGCGGTCTGCTTCTGTAAAGATTTACAGCCTCTCAAACCGTATGGGGCAGTTCTACTCTGTTCTATAGGGTCGCTATGAGTTGGAATCGACCTAACAGCAACAGATTTGGTTTTTACATTCCTACCAGCAATATACAAGGGTTTGAATTCCTCTACATCCTCACTGTGATGGTTAAGGTTGTGTGTCAACTTGGCTGGGCCATGATTCTCAGTGGTTTGGCAGTTATGTAATGATGTAGTCTGGCAGTTATGTAATGGTGTAATTTGGCAATTATGTAATGATGTAGTTATCCTCCATTTTGTGATATAATGTAATTACCTCCATGGTGTGATCTGCCAATCGGTTGAAAGGGAGGTTTCCTCGGGGGTGTCATCTGCTTCCAGTATATATGGACGTTCTGGCAAAGCTTGCTGGCTTTTGCAAGCTCTGGATCCTGCATCTGGCTTATCATCATCTGACCTCCAGTTCTTGAGACTTAAGCCAGTGGCCTGCCATATTACCTACTGATCTTGGGATTCATTGGCCTCTGCAGCCTGGGCCAGCAGCCTGCCGTCTTACCTGCCGATCTTGGATTCATCAGCCCCTGCAGCTGTGTGAGTCAGGAGAAGCCTCCAGCCTGACACCTGAGCCACGGACTTGGGACTTGCCAGCCTCTGCAACCACGTGAGACATTTCCTTGAGATAAACCTCTCTGTCTTTTTCTATATGTATACACTTCACTGTTTTTGGTTCCCTAGAGAACACAGCCTAAGACACTCACCAGTACTTGTTATTTTTCCATTTTTCTTTATTATAGTGGGTGTAAAGTGGTATCTCATTGTGATTTGCATTTCCCTAATGACTAATGATGTTGAACATGTTTTCATGTGCTTATTGGCCATTTGAATATCTTCTTTGGAGAAATGCCTATTTAAGTCCGTTGCCCAGTTTTTCATTGGAATGGAAATGTTTTGTATCTTGATTATTGTAGTAGTTACATGACTCTATGCATTTGTCAAAACTCATAGAATTGTACACTAAAACAGATGAATTTTACTGCATATAAATTATACCTCGATAAAAAGGAACCCTGATGGCGCATAGGGTAAGTGCTCAGCTGCTAACCTAAAGATCGGCAGTTCGAACCCACCCAGCAGCTCTGCGGGAGAAAGACCTAGTAATCTGTTTCTGTGAAGATTACAGCTGAGAAAACCTATGGGGCAGCTCTACTCTGTCATGTGGGGTTGCTGTGAGTCAGAATCAACTCGACAGAACACAACAACAACAAACCCAAGAAAAACAAAATACTAAGGACAACAAAAAGTTACAGTTAAGTTAATGTTCCTAGTTAAGCTGTAACAGCAGGGAAATCACAGGGAGAGACAGGGGAGGAGGAACAGCAGGTGGTGGCCTGGGCTGAGAGCCCTCCTGCCCCGTCTGGATAGTGACTGATTCTGGGGTGACTTCACACAGGCGGTAATGTGAACACACCCACGTTCTCTGAGTGAGGCTCTGCCTGCCTGCGTGGGAACCTCTGAGGGTCAGGGCCAGCCCTTCTGGTGCATTCTGTGGGGGATGCCATGGATACCAAAATGGAGAAGCCCCCTAAATCATACCTACTTTCCTCTTATGCCATCTACCTGTGGCCATTTCCCCTAACCAGAAGGGAGAGGGAGAGGGATGGAACAGAACCAAGTCAGAGATTGAATTTTGGAGCTGGCTTTGCTGCTGGCCGATGCAACCTCTTTGAGCCTTGGTTTCCGCATCTGTTAAATGGGAACAATGGTCTGTATCTTGCAGAGTCCAGTGAGGGATAGATGAGATGATTGTGTGTGAGTGCTGAGCCCACTGCTCAGCTGGTAAAAGCTCCCTGACTCCTATGGGCATGTGGGTGGTCGCCAGCAGGCTGAGTTTGAATTCCTGCTGCACTTCCTACAAGCTGTATGACCTTGGACAAGTCTCTTACCCTTTCTGGGCCTTGATTCCTCATTGACAAAATGAGATTTTATGGTCCCATAAAATTTTTGTGAGGATTCAATGAATGTAAAGGCCTTAGCCCTGGGCCTAGCATATAGTAGTGAGCACTCAGAAAGAGCTACCTCCATTATTATCATAGGGTTGCCAGATTTAGCAAGTAAAAATACAGGATGCCTGGTGTCATAGATTGAATTCTGTCCCTCAAAAATGTTTGTCAGCTTGGCTAGGTCATGATTTCCAGTATTGTATGATTGTCTACCATTTTATCGTCTGATGTGATTTCCCTATGTGTTGTAAATGCTATCACTATGATGTAATAAAATGGATTAGTGACAGTTATATTGATGAGGGCTACAAGATTAGATAGTGTCTTAAGCCAATCTCTTTTGAGATGTAAAAGAGAGAAGCAAGCAGAGAGACATGGGAACTTCATACCACTAAGAAAGCAGTGCCGGCAGCAGAGCGTGTCCTTTGGACCTGATGTTCCTACACAGAGAAGCTCCTAGACCAAGGGAAGATTGATGATGCGGACCTTCCTCCAGAGCCAACAGAGAAAGCTTTCCCCTGGAGCTGACGCCCTGAATGTGGACTTGTAGCCTACCAGACTGTGAGAGAATAAATTTCTCTTTGTTGAAGCCATCCACTTTTGGTATTTCTGTTATAGCAGCACTAGATGACTAAGACAACTGGTTAATTTTGAATTGCAGATAAACAATAACTTTTCAGTATAAGTATGGCTCATGCAATATTTAGGATATACTTATACTAAAAAGTTATTTGTGACATATTTATACTAAAAGTATTTGTTGTTTACCTGAAATTCAAAATTAACTGTTTATCCCAGTATTTTGTCTGGCAACCCTCTTAATAGAGGGAACAGATTTGGGATAATATGAGGATGGGACTAAGCCTGAAGGTAGATGGAAGGGTGAATGGTCTACTTCTGCTTTTTAAACCTGCCCTAAAGCCTGAGTCACCGACCTTGCTGTTAGGTGCCATTGAGTTGATTCTGACACATAGGGACCGTATAAGACAGAGTAGAACTGCCCCATAGGGTTTCTTTACGGGAGGCCATAGACTTTACGGGGGCAGATTGCAGGTCTTTCTCCCATGTTGCTGTTGGGTGGCTCCGAACCATTGGCCTTTCAGTTAGCAGCTGAGCTCTTAACCATTGCACCACCAGGGCTCATGTACTTTAATTTTAAACCTACCTCTTTTAAGAAGCTTCCCTTACACCTAGGTCAATTGGCATAACAAAGTTCATTAAGAAAATGTTCTGCATCCTACTTTGGTGAATGGTGTCCGGAGCCTTAAAAGCTAGTGAGCGGCCATCTAAGATGCATCAATTGGTCCCAGCCCACCTAGAGTAAAGGAGAATGAAGAACACCAAAGACATAAGGAAAGTATTAGCTCAAGAGACAGAAAGGGCCACATAAACCAGAGACTCCATCAGCTGGAGACCAGAAGAACTAGATGGTGCCTGGCTATCACCAATGACCACCCTGACAGGGAACAACAGAGAGTCCCTAATGGAGCAGGAGAAAGGTGGGATGCAGAACTCAAATTCTAGTAAAAAGACCAGACTTAATGATCTGACTGAGACTGGAGGAACACCAGAAAGCATGGCCCC